AAAACATTTTAAATCTATTGAAAATTATAACATCTCAAAAATGTGGTGATAATAGTATTCAATTAAATGTTCAAGTTTTAGATTTATAAGCTTTTAAGTTACATCGAAATAAGAAAATTCAATTTTTTCAATAACCGGTATCCTGTATATGATACGGATTTGTATGCAATTATCCTACAGTTTACTCAATTATTTCGAAAACTAATGAGAATTTAAAGAAGTGACTATCTCATTATTAAAAATATCCTCTCAGAAAAAAAAATTGTTTATCGGAGTAATATTTTTGGTCAAAAATGTTTTGACATTAAATAGACCTTAATACTATGAACTTGAAAATTTAAAAGAATTTAGTCTATTTTTTTATATTTAATAAAAATCGTATTTTTTTTGTTAAATAAATTACATTACAAATATTTCTTGTCGATCGAAAAACAATACACTTATTTACATTTAATAGTTTATATTATATAATAGTCATAACTTATTTATTATACTATATTATATAATCACTTCAAAGTAACACAAACCAATGTGTATTATACTTCTTAAGTGTCTATAAAAATAAACGTACTCATATATTATTTGAGAGCTATCAGGTTATCAAAGTTTATGTAATATTTATTTATTAACCATAAGTTTATCCTACATGTTACTTTAATATATTGTAGGTACTCAATTATAAATATAATACAAATTATGAATTTTAGTTGTATTAATAAGAAAACAACTAAAATTTAAAAATATAGTATTTTAATAACATTAAATAGTGTTTTTCAATGTATATTACGTATGTATGAGATTTTAGAAATTAGTTATTATAATTATTTTAATTCCACTTAATATTACTAAATGTAATTATGTTTAATTTTTTTCTGAGGTTTCGACATGTATAGTATTAAAGTTGGTAAATAAAATAAATTAATAAACAATTGGCCTGCAAAGATTGGAGAATGGAATATAAATTTATACAGTTATTAAATTATTAGGTCTTCAAAATAAATGTATTTTATACGATAGGATATCTCAACATTATTTATTTTCTATAATTATAAGTCTAATCAAACCCAGATTAAGAGGGAGGAAGTACGTCCCCGAGTCCTACGTGTATAAAGGGCTCATAGTCTTCTCGGATTAAAATTATATTGAATGGTAATTTGAACTTTTTATAATAGAATACTATAAGAATAGTTTTTTTTTTGTTTGAATTAACGGACGTTACTCATCTACCATCTCTATAACCATGGGTATGGTAAGTGAGAACACATGACCAGAGCCGACGAGAAGATTAGGCAGGGAAGGCTAGAGCCCTGGGGCCCGTCGTCTCAGCCTTTTCTACAAAATTATTTTATAATCTTATTAGCCGTGGCATAAGTTGCAAATTTAAATATTTTTATTGTACTAAAGTATGTACAAATAGTATGTATATCTTGGCCAAACAAGTGTAAGTAAAGGGAGCCTGGTCAGCCGATCAGCCCGTGGCCTTCAAACAAGGACACCCATATGGGGGAGGGGGCAAGGGAGGGACATGCCTCCCTCTGGAAAATGTCAAAAATCTTGGAAAATTGTGTACTGTGATAAGAAAATATTTATTTAAATAGAATTTAATAATTTTATTTAATATATGAAAATCTATAATTCGTTGATGAAAAATATATTTATTTAGTTTGGAAAAACAGGTTATCAGCTATAAATAACAATACGCTTTTTCGTTTCTACTCTATAGATAATTATCAATTCTTAAAATATTATGTATTTCCATAAATACAGTATGTATATGTGTGTGTGTACACAACCATAATATTTATATAACATTTGTAAATTAATATTTTAATAAATATAACTAATATTTTAAGTGTCCAATTTATATTATTCATTAAATAAAAATTTCAATAAATTACTTTTATGGTAAATTAATTAAATAATTATTATTTTATAGTCTTCCAGTTTGATATATATAATGTAATAGTTGAATATAATGTAAAATTGTAAACCCCTTCCTATATCGTGGGTCATTCCTATTTATGAATAGATTGATAAATTAAAATGTTGTCCCCCCCTTGAGAATTTTCCTATAGACGCCCTTGCCATCAAATGTTCTCGTCAGCCCTGCACATGGCTAAGTTTATGTGTATGAAGAATTGAAATATAAATTGTTATAGTTGTATTTAAAATAAAACTTTATAAACATTTGCTACATAAAAAGCAAGAAAAAAGACTTTTACATAAAATACTAAATTGTATTTCTAAATATATGTACTCGTATTATAATAAAAATACGTTTTTAATTTTTTTATTAATCTTAATTAAAAAGGTTTAAAATTTGTTTTATAATATATTTTTATAATTTTAAAGAATTGTTTTCATTTATGAAGGGCCCACAAACATGTATTGGCTCCCGAAGGTTTTACTCGAGTTTAATGGTTTACCATTGTAATAAAATAATAATGAAGAACATTGAAGTGAAAATTCGATGTTAGAATTATGAGAATAATGATAATTTAACGAGATAACGAAAGGTGACAAATAGTCGCGTGATATCAACGAGTCGATGATTGTATAGCCGTCTACGTTATGTGTGTAAGTAAGAGTTACTTGATTTACACAATGATATTGGTAACTTAATGGTAGTATTAAGGAATTACATTTTTTAATCCTTGATATATTTATCTGTTTACACACTAGTATGATAGAATTTAATAATTTTTGTTATTACATACTTAAAATTAATTTTAATACCAAACATATTTTGTGAAATTGAGCTTGCGTCATTCGGGGCGTAATATTTATACTACCCGAAGCCGATCATGAGCAAAGGTATAATAATAATGAGCGTGTTGCATAGTTTTATACTTGTAATATTCCGATACTCTATTAACGACTTTAAATTATTCTTCCAATGCACATAAATCGTTTTTAGTATTATGAAATGTACGTATTTTGATTAAACGAAAAAAATTGTATGGTAAAAACTGCGTAGACATTGTCCGAAAATAATATCGTACTCAAGTGTTCCTTTCCATCCTATCGGTACTTGAAAATCTAGTAGATTTTTTTTAAAATCGCAAAATAAATTCATTAAAAACCTTCGAAATGTTTCAATATTATTAGCTGAGGCATCGTCACTCGTATGTACTCGTATAATTTGTGGTGTACAGTGAGTTTAGAAATTTGAAATACCTTAACCGTAAGAATTTTTCGGCACCCAAGTACAAAATAAATTTTACGAAATTTAGGCCGACGGTTTTAAATACTACGATAAAATCTCTGGAAAAAAACTTAATAGTATATAAAAATTAGTATATATCAAATTAGTGTCAATAACATATAAATGCACTTCAAATTTCACGAAAAAAAATTACATATATGCATAATATCTAGGACGATTGAAATCGTTGCATAATTCTAGACGTGTAAAATATAAGCCGTTGTTCAGACGTCATTCGTATATTTTCAAACAATAGTATCTCATTGAATAAGTAAGGTACGTTTTCCCTGCCGCGTCCAAACACAGAATAATTCTGTGCAGATTCTTGAAAATTAATTATTAATCTGCATTTGGACGCCATGTTTTCTCTGCATGCGTCTCGATGCAGTCGTTTTTAATTTTTGGATCAAACTACATCGCCGAAATTCTGTTATAGTGAATGCAAAAATGATCTAATATACACATAATTTCTTTAAAAATAATAAACATATAATGGTCTAACTAGTAAATATTTTGTTTAAATACGTTTTTAATTTATTATCGTTAATATATTTTATACGTACCTGTTTTTTCCGTACCGAATTTTTCTGAAATGTGTTGAGAGTGTGAGCACTGTCAACAATTTTCCTATTTTCGTCAACTAATTCAATTAATAATTCATCCCAGGCTGATGAAAATAGTCATTTTTTAATTATTTTTAATGTGCAGGACGTTTAAACGCATGTAGAAAAACGGTCACATTTAAAATGCATGTACCTAGTGAAGAAAATACGTCTAGGCGCTGGAGGGAAAACGTACCTTTAGAGTTTAAGTGTGAGATCCACACAAGATTTCTTAAATTAAAAACGTACACCTAATCTAAGCAAACTTGTTTTTAGTCATGACTTTTAAGTTCGACGGCGTTGTTTATTTTTTAGTCATTTATAGATAATACTAAACGTTTATTATCATGTTTTTTTTTTTTTTTTGCCTTTGTTCGCACATTATTATCATGTGTTACAAAATTTTTCATTAGTATAAAAATAAATAACAACCGAAAAACCAATTACTATTATTATTATATTTCTTAGATAATTGACTGTACATTTTATTATTTTTTGTAATCATCGTTAATCATTTTTCTAGCACCTAGTAATTATACAATTAGTACTAAAAATATCATATTCAGTATATGGAAAGTTAATTAAAAATATTAACTGATTCACGTTCCTTAAATAGACATTTTTATCCAATAATTAATTTATTATTTATGAAAATAATATTTCATTTATTATACACGAATTTTAGTTGTAATCGAAAAAAATTAATGCAATTTTAATGGCTTAAATTATCGTTTGGATTCATTAATATTTAATAGTAAAAGTGATAGTGAGAAGTACACGATTACATTGTATGTCACAAGTGGCGTTTACAAAGTATAAACGTGAATGGAATGACTACTTGAGTCGTTTGTATGTCTTTCGCCACACTGCACTTGAGTATCTTAGATTGTTTAGGAATATTCTATGAGCAATAATTTTATTATGCGGTCGTAATTTTGTTATGTATTTATATTTATGAATATTTTTTTGCCACCCATATTACCTTAAAAAAAAAACAATTATTTTTTTCAAGGTTTTGTGATTTTTAAACCAATAATTGATTATGAAAAATTAATATCACAAACAAACTAAACTAAGTTCAATATTTAAAGATCAACTACACATGAAAATTGGAAATTAGAAAAAAGTGTATGTTTATTTGAATAATATTTTACTTGTGTTGAATAGGATTTATATGCAATAACACTATAATAATAAAACATAATAACAAAACATTTTATTTATAAAAATATAACATGCAATATAACTTTACATTAACAATCGGATACTTGGTGAAAATTATTTAACTATGGAGACGGTTTTGCTGACGAGGTAGGTGTATGATTTTTTGATTTTTTTTCAAGAACTGTTTCAATTAAATTTTGTAATGTCTGAAAAATTAATAAATTATAATTGAATAGACTTACTTTTCATAATATATTTTTAATTTATATGTTGAGTTATTTATTTGTATTATTAATCAATTTGTTATTTATTATAGGAATATTTTAAATAATCACAGGGTTAATAATAATGTAAAATTAAATATTTACCTGAGGTTTACAGTGTTCTTCAAGCCAACTGAACACACAAGCAGACAGTTCAGTAAAATTATTAACATTTATATTACAAAATGTAAAAAATAATTCGTCAATAATTTTTTGAAACTAAAAAAAAATAAAAATAAGTTGCATAAAAAATTGTAACAATGTAACTGAAATCAATATATTACTTATATAGAAAACGAATAATTTTATGGATTTAAGAAAAAACAAGTATTAATATCACATAATAATTAAATAAGGAATAGTTGTAAGAGATTATAAATATTTTAGCACTAAATAGAATTTAGAAATAATTATATCATGTGATTATTATTGAATAAATATTCTTTAGCAATGTAATTTTTTTTTTTTTTAATGATTTAAGATAGCTAGTTTTATATATATATATATATATTTTAGATTTTACCATTATTAAACATCATTTATTATTTCTATTTTCGAATAGTCTTAATTATATTATTCAATAAGAGCTTAACAAAAAAATAAAAAAAATAATTTTTTTAAAATATCACAAAGGATCTAAAATTACCATTTTAAATTTTTCTTCATCTGGTATTCTAGCTTCAACATGACCCATTGGAATTTGTTGAGCTTTTACCATTTGTTCATAATTAGTTTGCATAATTTGTAATGCAACAACTTCTTTTCGCAAAGCATTACGTTCTTCCTCTAATTTTTTCTTTTGCAACAGTAAATACTAGACATATAGAAATAATATTCATTATAAACAAATAAAAAAAAATAAAAATTTAAATGTTAAAACAATGAGTCTACAATTATACTACCATAATAAATTGTTAATAAAATAATTTTAAAAGTCTATTGTTGAAAATGTTTAACATTTTTTTATTGTTAGCAAATATATTAACTTAAAAAACATAATATTTTTTTTTTTTAAGTCTTAGTTTCATATATTCAATATAAATTGAATAAAATTGAGTAAATTATTTGATTATTTAAAACATACCTGTATATAATCTATGGATTTTTGTAATACTGTTGCTTTGCTTAATTTATAACCACTACTATCAGTTTGTTGACAAGTTGGGACTAAATCTTGAAGACAATCATAACCTTTTTTAATGGCATCTCGACGTTTTTGTTCAGCTTGAGTGTGCGCTTCTCGCCTTCTTTCTTTATAATTGTTTGGTGAACCCTTTTCTTCACTATCATCATCTTCTATATATAAGACAAAAATATAATTTAATTATTAATTTTTATATAGTAAACATTATTAATAGTGATAGATAGAAAGAGGCAAGCTGCTGAGTACTTTAATGCTTTAGTTAAAATATTTGAAGAAAAAATAAAACGCAGATAAGAAAAGTTTTGAAAAATAAGATTCAACTTACAGTCTTATAAAACTCCCTCATTGGTATACATATATCTATAATTAATTACGATGAAATTAGAGACACCCATTTATGGACTGTAATACTACTGTCATCAACAATCCAGGAGGGTCAATTGTCCCATCCTATAATTATAGTATAACTCATCGGGTATACCAAATTTCATTATGATGAAGCAATCAGCACATCAGGATTTTTGGCATCAAAACTAAAATCATGGTTAAGCATAATTAATTTAACCAGATCAATTATGTAAAATAACAGAATTCATGAATACAAATGTATGCATAATAGACTCTAAATAGTACAACAACAGGTATCAATAGTATATATTTCATTATGTACAATTCAAAAAAATTCTACGATATTAATTATACTTTCAAAATTGATACTACGTATATACACTACTTTTACAACTTGCCTACAAAGTTGTTATTATTTAATACATACCATGGCCACTACTACTACTATGATTTCCTGCATGAAGAGAACTTCCGCTACTAGATCGGCTAAATGGGTTAGCATTTCGTATTGGACTAGAAGGTTCAACTTTCATGTCTGAAAATTATTCAAACAACAATATATAAATTATTATATATTTGTACAGTTACAATTCAACCTTACTCAGGTCTGTATGCTCATAAAATTGTTAAAATATGTACTTAAATTTAAACACATATTCTTAATATTTTATTAAATTTTAAAAATACAGTAAGACTAAATATTTAAAAAAAAAGGCATTCCCAAAAATAATCTATAAAAATAAATTTAAAATGTTCATTCTTTTATCAAAATAAATGCATAAATAATTTTTTTTGTATCTTAACTAATATTTATTTAAATTTGCTCAAATATTGTTAAAAAAAAAAAAAAAAACCACTATTATTTGTTAGTGTGCAATTAATATAATTAATATCCTAAGCCATCATAACTAACAAAATTAATTAATTTATATAAAATGTAAACTTAAGTAGGTATTTGGTACGTTATTTTATGAATTAATTAACTTAATCATATAACTATTATATTTTTGTAAATAATTAACTTACCATCACTATCTCTAGAGTCCATGCTTTTTTAAATGTTATATCAAATAACTTGATCTCTATAAATAAAATGTACATTTTGTAATTAATATTACTATTTGAATGAAGTTTGATATTATTATATTTATAATGGATACCTAAGTTCTTATAAATGAAACATATCACACATTTATAAGAATATAATAAAAAGAATAGTAATTAAATCTGAGGTTTTAACAATTTAAATTTCTCTTCAGATAATATTTGTACATATTTATGGGAAAATTAAATAGAAAATCTATGTTATGATTTCTGTACTTTGAAAAGTAAATTGATTGAACAAAAAATCTTCACCAGAAGGTAATTTGCTGTATGATTATTAAATAATATATTTGTTAATTCAGAACAATTAATTTTTTTAAACATATCAAAGAATTATATCAATAAATAATTCTTAATAACAAATGTGATAGATGAGTTTAAATTAACAATCTAATGAAATTTCAAAACTGTTTAGACAAACTAGTGATAGATTTAAATATTACTATGCCCTTAGGTCATGGTCAATATTATTTTTGACCTGTTGGCGATAAGAAAATAAAAACAATTATTTTATTTTTTGAAAATGTATTAACTGTAAAAATATGGAAACTACTGTTCAGTCAAAATGTATACGATTAAAGTATTATAACTAGATTGAAATATTAATGCAATAATAAACGAATATATAACATAAAAAGTTTTATAAAATTGAATTAATTGCATAATGTTAAATTCTGATAAAAACTGTCCACCTCGGGAAACTGCTTGTTTAGCTTAACATTAAACCTACCACTGATATCAAACACATTGAAATATTAATCAGATTTCGGTGAATGTTTTATACTATGAGTGTTGATACCACAGCGATCAGGTGTTACTGGTAACGCATGCAGCCGGGTCAAGCAAAGCAAAGGATGACTATGACTGGAACGTTTGCTGTAGTCACACACCCAATCTGATGAGGGCGGACGTACCGAACGAGCATATGGAATAAAAGGAAAAGAGAAAAATACCAATATCAATACCGTTTAACCAGCATGGACCGTACCGTCCGTCATGCTATTGCTGTCCGGCGATCGCGAGGAGCAGTGTACCACGGTCGTCGGGGTTTGGCGACCAGTTTCAAGTGACTAACAGCGTTTCCGTTACGGTCGGTTCTCTTCGGCACTTGACCCGGACGCAGTAGCAACGGGACCGCGAGGGACACTTACCCTTCGGATGGGTCCGTTGACGACGTTGGGGCGGTGATACGGACCGGATTGGGCGGAAACGTCGTCGGGAAGCGACACGCGAACGATGGGACGGACGCACCAGCGGGACGAGCAGACCGAAGTGAACGAAAGTGATGTTCGGCCGTCGGCCCGTGCGAGCCGCGGGTACTGGCGCGCACGCGATAATCGTGGCGGCGTGCGGGCAAGGTCTACACGGATAACGCGAGACCCGATAACGGTTATCTGTTGCGCGCCCGTGGCGGCCCCGGCCTCCGGGGCGGCGAAAGGTAATCTGTCCGCGGCGCGCGATAACGGCGAGTTTCCTCGCGCGCGGCCCGTCCGGGGACCCGTCGAGATTATCGGATTAGCGCAATGTGCGCGCAATCATTCCGCCCGAATATCACCGTTATCGTTTACCGTTCGAAGTAAAAGAACGTGTTGGGCCGTACTACGATCAACGCTGCAATCCTGTTACAATGCGATGTTTACTTTATCTGCGTGTCGGGCGGGACGCGGCGCTCAGCGCAACGTTGTACGCGTGCAGATAAAATCTGAAGGAATTTGAACGTCCGACCGCCGCGACCCCCTGACCGGTCCTCCTAACCGGTTGCCACACTTGTCGCGCGCTCGTCTACTGCGACGTAGTTTCGCGTTTTCACCGGCGACCCGCAGCGCCTACCTGTGCGCGGGGGATGGCGGGAACGCGGGCCACTCGTAAACACGTCGGCACGAGAACAAAATTAAAACCGATGCCGGTTCTGAATATCGAAATACATTTTGCAACGCATAGGTTAACCAACGGAATATTTCTATCGTTATATTCCGCCACCCGTTCACTACGAAAGTTGGCCGAATCCTGCGGGCGCTGCGAAGTTCTACGCGTTCCTCTTCGTGCCGACGAGACGACGAAGTGTTTTGGTGCCAAAACGCGCCAATGGCCTACCGCGGTATCTACTCGGGTAACCGGATGGACGTGCAAAGGCGTTTTTCCCGCGAACAGACATGTCGCGCCGACTGTACCTAACCTCGACGGTCGGTTTTATTATTTGTATTTTATTTTAATCGGTCGGTATGCGTTTATGCTTATCGTTAGATGTTCCCTACGGAAATGGCAGTACGTGTGTAATAAGTGGGTAGGTACCGTTCGGTGTGCCTTTTTTTTGTTAAATGCTAGCGCGCGTGTCCAAGGATCTTTTCAATCGATTTGAACGAAAGGGTAACATTTTATAACGTAAGAATCCGCGTTTATTCTAAGGGTTTTTGTTACGGCGTGGTTATTTTACAATGTATTGTAATAATATACTTTTAACATTCATTTCGGTATATATATTTGTATGCATCAGTTAACTACGTATTGTGTACACCTATGGTGCAACTGTATATCTCTGTTAAAAGTTACTTTATTGTGAATTTTAATTCACATATACATATAAATTAACCCGTATAATAACTATGAATAATCAAATACATTTACACTTTCAATGTAGGCGTTCAATAAGCATTTGTGTAACTTTTTATTAATTGAAAAAAAAAATTAAATAAAAAATAATACCTAATAAAAACATTTTCTGTGACCATGTATTTACTAAAACTTTCTCTTTTTGATACAAGAAATGGTTTTTCTTCTTTTTCTTGTTCTTTCGTGTTATTAGTTTCTTCGAATATACCTTTCAACCATAGATGTTCTTTTGTTTTATTTATATATTTTATATAATATATTTTATTTAGGCTTAATTGTTTATTTGATGAATTTTATGATCGAATATACATAGTTTTTCAACTGCGCAAAAATTAATTTTTAACAGAACAAAATTATTTCTCAACGAGGAAAATAGCGCTTAACAGCGCCTTAAAATAGGCCCTGGTAAGAATAATTACATAAGTCCATAATCATATATAAAAATATTAGAAATATGCGTGAAACACGTTTGTTGTTAAAATTAATAAATATAAGCATTTTTGAATAATATTTTTAATGTATACCAATAATTCTTGATTTTCTATAAGTAAAACATACAATTTAAATGTACCAAACAGAATGACTACAGTTTTGAAAAATAAAAACTCATCAAGAACAAAAATCACTTAAGTTTGATTTTTAAGTTGTATCCCATTAATTTTAATTTCTATGTTAAATTTGTTGATATGTATAGTTATGAAATTCACATTCTTGTTCATAATTTAATTTTAAATAAGATTTTTTTATGGAATTTTTAACAGAGTTTTTTAAAGATTAAATTTCATGTGGGTGTATAATTAAATAATAATAATTAAAAAAAAATTGCATACACATCGTTTGGATAAAATTATAGATAATCCAAATCTTCTTAGTTTTTTTTTTTAATTACTTTAATAATTCGTTTCTAATTATATTTCCTGTTCATTTTATTACTCATGCATGTATGCAAACTTAACCAACAACCAATAAAACAATAAGTAGTACATTGAATTTGTCAATTCAAAGTGTTCAAACATAATTAATTCTATCAATATTTTATATTGTATGGTTATATATCTCTGATATTGTAAATTATATAAGTAATATTACTAATTGTATCTAGGGATACCTATCAACAGTTCAGGAAAATCGCGTTCACAGATCATTATGTGTTGTTTTAAGTAACACCAGCTACTTTAACTCAAGTTTTACTTAAGTCTTGATTGTGAATACAATTTTTATATTATAATCTAATGTGTGTAACGATGACGATAGCCCGTTGACCTGTCGGTTTTATTGTAAAGTTAATTGTGACTGATAAGTTATGATTATTCATTATATTAATTAATCACTGGATTTGATCGTAACGGACGAAATTATACTTACACGTACGTTAGTTACTGTTGTAATTCAGTGTTATTTGAAGAAGAAAAAAAAAATAGAAATTCTCCTTTACCGTTAGCCATTAAGCATTAGTTGACAATTAAAAATATTCGTTTCTGCAATCCATATATTTAAACTGGTGTGAACAATACTTTTTTACCTCTAGATAGGTATACTTAAGTGCGGCAGATTACGAAATAATTATAAAGCATTCAGAGTCAACATTAATTATTAATTAAAGTTTGAAAAACTAATAATAGTCGATTTTGTTAAAATTGATTATAAATTTCTCAAATTTTTCATAATTTATGAAAAGTTTTTCCAAAATCGATCGTTGAAAAATGACCAGTTCATTCCTATGAATTTAATTTCCAATTTCATAAGATGTCAAAAAAAACTTTGTACACAGATATCCAAACATACAGTTCTTCTAACAGTTACTATTATGGTGCAATTGAAAAATAATTGAAATGTATGAATACTTTGACAAAGTCAAATTATTATTGTAATATTATGAAAAGAACATTTGTTTTGACAAACGAAGGATAATTATCTACATAAAATACATAAAAATTAATTTCGGTTTCATAATATAATATAAATTGTTTTATTTGTCTAATATGTATACAGTTTAATTCAATTACATTTAAGAACTGTTGAGTTGGTAACACAATCGTATTAGCTTGAGTAAGGAACTTGATGTGTTTTTATATATAATATTATAAGTGGTAATGGATACATGGGAGATTATAACATTCAATTGCGAATCAAGATCATGTTAAAGTAAAATTATTATCCACTGACGTGCATCGTGCATAAGTTATAGTTCGAATTTTGAGTTGATGACGGTAGTTGTATAACTAATTTTATCGTTATTATAAGTAGATACAATGATCTCAGTGACATTTGCAACTATTGAGGAATTGTGATACATTATTGTTAATTATAAGGTATATTATTTTTTACTCGTTATAAATAAAACAACAATGTTTTTATTAATTTTATAAATGAAAGAATTTAAATTAATTTTAAAGATATTTAGTCAAAATGTGGCATACATAAATAATTTACAGCGTGTAATACTTGTTTATAATACTTTTGTCATATACAGGCTTTGCTATTCTGGTTATTTTATTTATTTTCGGTTCTTGTTGTACAACAAAAAAAAAAAAAAAATAAACTCAAGTGCGTGAAATTGACTTAAAATTTTTTATCATGAATTATTATAAACTTTTAAATAAACGTAAAAAAAAATGTTGGAGTTTTTTTAGTATCCTCCATTTTTGGGTTGAGGTGCAGCATAAGATCCCTTAACACCTCCAGGTGAATAGCTTGAAGCAGAAGGTGAGTAACCCGATGCTGAAGAAGGATAGCTAGGAGCAGAAGAAGAATAGCTAGGAGCAGAAGGATAACCTGGAGCAGAAGAAGGAAAACCTGGAGCTGAAGAAGGATAACTTGGTGCCGATGGATATCCACCTTGGCCCGGACTACCTGGTTGTGGTCTTGCTTCACCTTCATAGTTGACCTTAGCATTGTAACCATTTTCATCAGCAGTATATGTTACTACTTGATTACGTCCGTCTGGCAACAATACGCTGTAAGATCCAGTTACTCGTTTTCCGTCACTGTTGGCTTCGTGCTTGAAATCTGTATAGGTGGGTGCATCTTTAACTTGATAAGCAAAGTTGAAAGGTTCCGGCTAAAGTAATACAGAAAACGATATTAATATGTATTTTTTACTGAAAATGTTTACAAATAAAATGTATTTATTATTTATCGATTATCTATATAAGTAACAGCAGTGGCATATACATAATTTTTGTATAGGGGGGGGGGATCAGTTGTAAACAAATCATTATGAAATGAAAATTCCTAAACCTAACCTAACCTGCACATTTAAATAATAAATAATAAAACATATATATCTATATTTAATGTTTCAAAATAATAATTTACAATCAGTTCCGGTTTAAGAAGGAGAGCAAAGGGGGCAGCTGTCCTGGGTAGCAAAATTTTAAGGGCGGCAATTTTTTGACGGCGTCAACAAAAGTTTTGAAATTTTCTAATGTAATCGTATATACTAACTAGTTTTCAGGAAAAATTATTAATTTATTATTGAAAAATATTAATAGCAATTATATAATATTATAATATTATATTAAACCTTTAAATATTAAAGTTATTTCGTCTGTGGGCGTTTAGCGTATTAAGGGTAAAACCATATAATTATTATTTAGCACTTAGACTTATGCATTTTTATTTTCGTTACACTAACATAAAATTGTTTTTTTGTATTTCATATTTATTTCTATGTGTGTATTATAATTTATAACCATCAGATTATTAAATTTGACATATAGTTTCAAATAATTTATTACATACTACCAAGCAATTGTTTTTGTTATCTCTCTCTCTCTCTCTCTCTGTCCCTCGTCTCGAGGTCATAGTTGTCGTCGTTGTCGAGTTCGATTTGCGAATTCGCGATTCGTTATTTTCAATCAATATGAGAGGAAAGCGCATAAAAATACATATATTGAAATAAATGAGTTGTTCGGGTTTTTTTTTTTAATGTGGAAGGAATTGTGGATGATTTTTTACGAGAAAAAACAAAGAAATTAGTAAATATTTATAGTGTTTATAACCGGAACTTGAAAATGAGATTATACAATTTAAAATAATGAAGTATTTTTCAGAAGATGAAAAATTATCTGTGCACAGTTTTCTTGAAGTATTAACAGTATCAAAGTTAAACGATTCATTTCCTATTGTGGAAATAACTTTAAAATTGTTCGTATTTGTATCATGTTTAAATGCTAACGGAGAAAGATCCTTTTCAGTTTTAAAAAGAGTTAAGAACTACCAGAAAATATAATTATTTAATGAAAATATGTCAAAGTTATTTCTAATATCTATTATAAATATTTTCCTAAAAAGTATAGATTAGAATGATATTATTAAAGAGTTTGCTGCACAGAAAGCTAAAAAATAGTTATAAATGTTTTATATTAAATAAATTTGTATTAAAATGTTTATATTTAGTATCTACTAAGGTCTATAAATTTAAAAACTATTAATGTTAAAATATAAATATAAATTAATTAAACAATCTTAACTATGTTGTTACTTGTTGTATACATATATATATATATATATATATTGGTTTGTGGAGGGGGTTGAAGGGTGGAATTTTAAAATCTACTCCCATGCGGAAAATTTGTTAATTCGGCACTGTTTACAATAAATCCTTGCAATATTTTTTTTGTTTCTTTTAATTTCCTTACATTAAGAACACTATGTTTTACAATTTTAAAAAGGCCTATGGGGGGGATCGGACCACCACATTCCTCCCCCCCCTTGTATACGCCCCTGAGTAACAGTACTTATAGTGAGAGATATTTCAGACAGTTGAATATAAACTAGGTACCGAGTATTAGCTAGTGTTGGGTATTCGATAGTTCAGGATATTCGAATTATTCGATAAGTTTTTCAAATATTCCATAGTTCTGAATCATTCGAAACTATTCGGAATATTTGGAATATTCGATGGTCTCGAATTAATTAATTATTCTATACTTTCCGATTTCACAATTATTCAGTAAAATTTGAAATTAGTTTAAATACAAATCAAAATAAACTATTATTAGGTGAGTATGTAACTCAATGCTTAATTTAACGACGTTTCAACGTTTCGACTTTGGAGTGTAATTACTGTTAAAAGACGGTCTATTCGAATAGTTCTATTCGGTTATTTGAATAGTTTTTAATCAGTATATTCGAATATAATATTCGATAGTTTATGTCCATCACTAATATTAGCCGAGTAAAAGTGTCAATACTACACCGAATATCAGGAAAAGGTCGAGTCTTAATTATTACATCGAGTAATTGCCGAGTACGTGGAATATATTATGTATAGATATTATCTACTTATAAGTTAGGTGTCCTATTTATACAACACATCATATAGCTAAACGTATAAGTCTTAACTTTTTTTGTTGAAATTTGAATGATTATAGCACTTATGGTAATATATAATAATAAAACAGTATTAGATGACTTGAAAATGAGGTAAAATATAACTAATCTTTATAATAAGTTCTTATATAATTTAAATAACATTAACTCCAATTGTTATAAACGATGATAAAGTACTTTATGGAACTAATGGACAATTGTTTCACTAGTTTGTAAAAATTGTGTTACATAATTTATAACGACATAATTAAAAAAAAAAAAAAATTGTGAACAAAATATACTTGTATTTTATTGCAAATAAAATGTAATGTTTTTATCCAATAGAAAACAATGGTAATGTTATAAAAATTTCAACTACATATCATAAAACATAAAACGGTTTATATATAAATATATATAGTTTTATTAACTAAAAATTAAAAAGTGTACTTTAAATGGAATATTAGAAATAAAAATGTGAGCTTGGTTTAAAACTTTTTAAGTAGCTTATGAAAAATTTCACATAGCTTCCTGTAAACATTTTGTATTGAAGGTATAATTCACTATATTCACTTATGTATTAGATACTTTATTCACTAAAAATTGATGCATTTTGTATGGAGTATAGGGAATTTATCAATCAGTGTTGTAAAAATAGTTTTTAATAGTATTTTTAAATTGTGATTTGTGAGTTGCACTTAACTGACAGAATGCAAAATGTAAAGGTACTACTATAATTAACGTTATTAGAATTTTGAATGGAGGATTTCACATTCAAAACTTTATCTGTTCTAATATTTCATTTTACTTAAGATCAAAAAAATTTCATGATAAATTAGTATATGAAATATTAATTTATATTTATTTATATTTTATTAATTTATATTAAAATTTTATAATTTAAAATAAATAAATGGTTTTGCAAAATGATGGTTCATCTATATGCATATTATAATATAATGACTATTGACCATCATTCACAAGTATACAACTTACTTCTGAATTTCCATCTGATCCACCAGCTCCTCCTCCGATTGGGCTTTGACCTTTGTGTCCATAATCTCCTGATGGTACACTTGTTCCAGTACCACCGTATCCTGGATTGCTGTTTCCAATAGGACTGCCATATTGGGCATACACAAGTGATGTTAAGAATATATTGAAAAGTACAACGACAACGACCTAGAAGTACAAAAATATAATAGAAACTTAGTTTTACAAGCCTGTATTAAAATACAAAAAGTGAGTTTTATTATTATAAAATTATTTTAAAGACTTCAGTACTTGTAAAATTGTTTGTTCGTGTCATATAATACAATAACTGCATTGAAATTCAATATCAGATGTGGCCATTACCAAATATTCGAATTATTTTACAAATAGTGTCAAATAAAAAGTGTTTTAAAAACATACATGCTTACGGTTTTGCGACAACACTTAAAAATACTACTATAAGTAAGTATATATAAATATAATAAAGATATTTTACAATAAGAGTCTTAATACATTTTGAAAAAACGTATTTTATGTTCAATTTATTATTTTAAAAAGGTGCACTTCACTATTCAGGAAGTAAAAATATTGGAAAAAACTAAATAGACATTCTTACTGTAGAGAATGAATAGTAAAAATGAAAATTAATTACATGATGGGTACTATTGTTTGTGTTATTGTAGGTACCTATGATGTGAATTATAGAGAAATTACAGTACTCTACCAATGAGGACGAATGAATCAGAGGTCACGATTTGTTATAACTTAAATGTATAAAATATTGAAGATGTATAGTGTATAAAATCACATAAGGTCAGAGTAACCATAAGTGAATTTAAGCGTGAATCAATTATATTAAATTATATTTTCTTATGTGTTATAGTACAATGCTACACCTACCTACATGGCAATATGAAAAGTTAAGATTATATACTTTCCAAAGATACCATTTACAATACCTAAGTTTTTCACACAGCACAGAAACATATAAATGAAATCATCAACTTTATCAACATTCAATTTCATTATTAATAAAATAATGTTTTAGAATTTCTAATCATACAAATGTAATCATTATAAATTAATTACTTAATTATATCTAAGGTTATTATTTACTTTGATATATTAAATAATATTAAAATTTTAGTAATTGAAAAATATGCTGTGATATTAATTTCAAATTTGATAAAAATTTCGTAAACACTTGAATCTGTACAACTAACAATATTTAGTTTATTGAATTATACTATAGGTTTCTTAAAATATATATAAATATTTAATGTTAATTTATCGAGACAAATTGATATTTTAATTTTTTTGAATTGCATACTAAAATACATTAGTATAATAAAAATCATTGTACCTACTTAATGGTACACATTTTTTCTACTCTAAAAATTTTGAACTGATTTATTAATTTATATCAATAATCAAATAAAAATATTAAAATGAAATAAGAACGATTTTTTTTTTTTAATTAAGTTATTGAATATATTTGTGTGATAATACCTTCTCTTTTATTTATAAAATGATAAATAAGTTTAAAAATATCTAATATGTATTATAACATTATTTATCATAAAATGTACTAATATTTGTTGTATTATAAGTTAATAAAATGTAAACATTAAAAGTAATTATATGTAATATTTTATAGTTTTTATTTTAAATAAAAATATTAATTAAAAGATATATTGCTTATTTGTTTTTATATAAACTGATAATAACGGTAAATTTAAACATTTATGATCTATGTAAATTAATTAACTATGTATGAAAGTATAACTATTTAACAACTACTTGCTAATGGTCCAGTACTGATGGATTATTTGTGCAATAGAAAAAATATAATTTTATTCATATTTTATCATTTGATCATCTTTTAGGTTATTATCCATTAGATAGTTGAAATTATTCTTATTGATGTTACATACTCGTAATTTATTAGCGTTATTAAAATTGTATTATAATACAACTATTTTGAAATTATTTATGATAAATAACAGTAATAATTTTATAATATTTTATACTAAAATTTGTTAAATATTTGTTTGATTTCAACGTCTATAATGTGTTTATAATTTAATTTAACGATTGATGTAGTGCAGGGAAATAATAGTACCTATCTATATAAAAAACAATTAATTTTCGTTAAACAAATTATTATACGTTACTAATATGGACAACTTTAATCGCATAATAATTTTAATTTTCAAAAATGAATAGATAAAAAAAGTTATTTTAAAACAAATTATATTATACTTTACGAGATAATAGCAAAAAAAAACTAAACTTAATATTTTTAAGTGTATGTAAATAAAAAATGCATTAGAGTAACTTTTTTTTTTAAAAATATCTATAAAATATTAATAATCAAAAATAATTCTCATATTACATAAATATATAATAATTATTAAACATATTATTAATTATAAAGGATACATTTTTTTTTCGACGTTTTAAATTTGAAAATATTTTTATTAATTTAATGCAAAAATTCAAAACAAAGCGTCAAATAAGTTTTATTTAATTAAGTACAATTACATTTTATTACATATATACATTTTCAATTAGTTATTTTGTTTAAATTGAAGCATCAAAATTGAAATATGATAAATTATTATATTTATTTAATGTTTAGTGTACTTTTAAAGTATGTACAAAAATTTACCTTTGAACTGAGATATGAAATAATGTGTGTAAAACAACTATATAACTATATGAGTTAAAATATTTACATTTATTATAATATATTTATATATATATATATATATAATACTATTAAATATAATATAATACATAGATAAGGATAATAGGTTGGAAATAAATTTAATATGATAAATATTTTAGAAGACAAATGTTACCTATACTGTCGGTTTTAATATTACAAACTATCTTTAAGATTTTGAATTTGATGTAAGATACTGATGTCAATAAATATGAATAATAAATATGATAAGTATTTGTATATAAATTATTTATGAACATTGCTTACCTTTTGTTGAATCATAATGATAATGTTAAAGTGTATGGTCTATATTATTAAGCGCGAAGTGTATCTACGCAGATAGATTCGGATGAGAAACCAAACGTACACTAAGTATATTTGCAAGAAGTGCAGCAGGCGAATTGCTCTTTTCGACTCGTTTGACGGCACTATCACAAATGATTTACTTGGATCGCGACGGAACATCTTATATAGCCAGCCAATGGAGTGGAGTGGAAATTAGCATACGACGTAAGATCTAGGTTGTACAAAAAACGAACGAGATGGCACTGGGTTAGTTCATCTATATAATCAGCCCCATTCATCGTCTGATTCTAATATGATGTAATATGCGCTCTTGCAACGATACTAAACTGAGGTCAAGTGTCATTACCGGAGGCAACGTCGTGATCTTCCTAGTAACGATTGGTTATTTATCGCAACGGAAACACTGATGTTACGTAGACTCGCGGCAAAATTACATGTGTACTTCGTGAAGCATGATTCATATAATAAATACTCCAGAAAATAAAAACAGGCAAACGTTAACATGCCGCGCGTTCATTACAAGTAAAAATATCGCTATTAAATATTTCCTTATTAAGTCGATTAGAAATCTCGTACCTACAGAGCTCCGACCAAATGAAATTGTAAGAACGGTAATTATAAGTTTTAATAAAAAAATTAAAAAAACAATGTTTTACGAGCAATCGAAAAAAATAAAAATTAAAACGTACATTCTAGCTGATCATATCGTGTCGATGAAAGGTGGTTAAACGCCATGCAGCAACCTCGGTCTATTATAATCATTAAAGAGACTATTTTCATGCACTCCGATGACCAAATCTTTACTCTGATCCTATTAGCAATCCGATAGCCTATTGTTATTATAATATTATGGTTATGAGCCCAAAGGCTTTCGGTGTGAATATAGATAGTTATAAGTCCAAATTGTTCCTCTGCAGTTTATTAAACTATACATGAATGACGCAAGCTATAAACACGATTTTAATTTGCCAAAAGTACACGAGATATTTGTTCAAATCGGGTATGAGAAAACCTTGCCCGATTGAATTTCGCTCAAAATGTGGACGTTTAATACTAAAAATTAATAGTTTTTCGTACAACTCGTGACCACTGATGGTTGATGGGTGTGTCCAAAATTAATTATTGCCAAACTTTAAGTATAATTAACGTAGGTATAAAACGCTCATTTTTAATAACATTTTTATGTAAATACGTGTGTAATAAAATAAACAAAACTTAATTGAATATTATTTGTAGATATTCTAGTATGAAAAATGCATATGTATAATGTGTGTCAATAACGATTCCATTAAAAAAATTTCGAATCATTTCCACTGTATAATTTGTATAATATTAAGCGAGTAGGTACAATGATGATTCAGAGGTGTCTAGACAAATTACTATTGTAGGTATAACCATGACCATAATTAGAGATGGCGTCGCATTTGTTTCATACAAGAATTAAAACATTTGTTCAAGGTAAGTTAAAAATAATAGAATAGAAATGTTTAATAACAATTTAGTACATTTTAAAATGTGGTTACTACCTTAGTGTTTTTAAACTTGTTAATCTGTGCATTTTGATGTTATGTGCATTAATGCTCCAAAAAATATTATTTAACTGACGACATTTTTAAAAAAATCGTCATTACTATCTATTTTAAATTAATATTTAATGCTTTTAATTTCTTATAATATTTTACAAGTAAATACACTTTTTTTGTGTAAATTGGTCAAAACTCCTATAAATGTTTATTATTTGCAGTTTGATATAGTTGTCAAAGTATGATACAAGAGAGAAATATTGTATTCTATTCGTTCTTGACTCCATTAAAACTATTCTTTTTAGTGAAATTTGTCGCTCACGTAGACAATAAATACTCAGTTTTCCTAGATCTTTGTTTTTTCAATTTTATTCTCCGCTTAAAGGTTCAAAAATATTTTAAGTCTAAATAATTAAACCTATAGGCTAGAATCAACAGTATATTTTTTACTTTAGTTTTCAAATAAAATTATTGAACTATTTTTAGTATTTAAATAATTACATGTACTCACTTAATTTGAAAAGAAAAAATATATATATGTATATATTAACACTTTCATTAATTAGGTACCTAAACCGAATACATTGTGAATATACATAAACCACTCTGAAAAATAATTCTAATAATATGTGAGATTCAATAAGAATTATAATGGTAAGGTACATATTTTCAATTTTAGTTCATCAAAACATTAATCATAATTATTATTTAATTGATAGTTACCTAATTATCAGTTATCATTTGATAACATTAATTATTTTATTGGGAGTTACATTGTAGTACGTATAATACTATATACTTATTTACGAGTAACAATTTAGGTGTTTCTATAAATTAAGTAAACATAGTAAATAATTAAACATGATACACATTGTATGTAAATTTAAGATCATTGTTTTCTCATCTCCATAGTATTTTGACGAGTTGGTATTTATTGACTTGTATATTTTACATACTTATATTTTCATATTCTTGTGAGATAATAAAAATTATTATACCATTTTGCCATTTACTGTTCAAATGTGTATTCATAAAAAATCAACATTAACTGTTATGTATGAAGTGTTTATGTACTTATTCAAGTAAATAAAAAGTGACAAATGTCCAACAGGTTATTTTAATTTTACGTGGGTGATTATTCATAATTATATAAAAAGAAAACGGGTATTTATAATTGTCTCTACCGCGACAATCAAAATAATGAGCATGTTTACTTTGATTTTTGATTTGAATGTTATATTTAATGTCTGGTGTGTGTCAAAAGCAAAAACAGTCGATCAACGATTCCTAGACTTCTGAGACAGTGTTTATTACGTAACATTTTTATATTATGTTGAGGTATGTTCGATTTTTACTCCTACACGATCTCATCACAAATACGTTACGCATTACGAACGTACATTAGCGAAATATGGGTTAACGAATGCTAAACATGTATTTTAATAATATGGGTACCAAAATAGAACAAGCTTATGACATAATAATACCATCCCTCGCTTGAAAACTACACCGATACATTTAGATATTTCTTAATATTCACTATTGCGGTTTGTGTCAACATTTATTAAATAAAAATATTTTACTTTCAATCTTATGATGATTTGAAAGTTTTTCATAGTGCGGCTGGGAGTCAGCAGCCAACCGATAAATTTATTATATAAGATTGGAATTTAATAGCATCAAAATATGTCCACAGTATGAGTCTATTAAAGTCTTTCGAATTAAAATGTTGGTAAATCTCTAATTCCTTAGTTTTTGTCTAATATTGGGTAAGCTCTCATAATTATGTTGAAAGCAATGATAAATTATTGTAGTCGAAAAATTATTCTAAATTAATACTAACGTAAATATATATGTATATACGCATTATTTATTTATTTGAAAATTAAACGAGTTTGGACCCAATTATATACTTAAGTATAATATAATTCTAGTATTAATAACATTCCTAAGCAATATTAAACATACTCGTGATTTTATTCAAACTAAAAAAAGTAAAATTAAAATTAATATTTAACAATATAGTTCTATTAATATAGAACATAATTATATCAATTAATATACTAAATTAATAAAAACGTGATTTTAAAACAATTAAAAGTGGTAGAACAGAAAGGATTAATTTTATAGGTATTTACGATGAACATAATTTTAGATACTGGAGTGTTGTAAGCATAATTTTTAAGTTTTTAGATAAAAAACATAATTTGATCATGTGTTCATTAAAAAATGTTGGAATGTTAGTCGATGTAGAACATCAGGAAAATATATTTGGTAATTTAGAAATTTAGAAATTAAATATAAATTTAGTTTGATTCTCCGTTGTTTGAGGAATTCGAGATCAAGACTAGTAAATAAAGGAGTGTAAAATTAATAGGGAATTCTTGGTATTATATGATTATGTATAAATGTATTATAATGTATTATAATATGGTAAATTACATTTATGAGGTATAAGCCGTAAGAATATTTTGAACTTTGTCCAGTTTAGTTTTTAAACTTATATTATATAGAGATCAGATAATAAAGCTGTAATCTAGAATTGAGCGCACTAAGGAACAACAGAATAAAATAAATATATTTTTATCCTTAAAGTAAACACAAGTAAACTGAATGTACCCAAGTAGTTTGAGGGCTTTATTTTTAATGTAGTGAATATGCGGTTTAAATATTAGTTTCGGATCAAAGGTACACCCAGATCTTTAATTATATCAGTTTTTCTGGGTAAGGATTCATCATTAATATTATAATCAAATAAATTATATTATAAAATTATAAAATTATATTCAATACGTATAATTTTATTATTCTGTCGAAGATTTTTAATGCAGAATAACTAACTATCCGAAAATGAGATAAGAATAAAAATATACGGTAAAGTAGTATAAATTTAATTCTTAAAATTATTAATTTTTCACATACAGCCTAACTTTCTAATAATTAATTATTAATTAATAATTGAATTATTTTCAAAGTTTTTATTGCAGTTTTTTTTTAAAAAATAATATAAACTTCGATTTTTAAAATTTTTTTTAATATTAAAAAATTATATCAACCCGCAATTATGTGTTATTTAATACATATATTATAATATGTTTTTTTTCAAGGCATCTTTAAATGGTTTTCATTAATATGTACATATAAAGTGACTTCTATATCGATTTTTTGTGTTTTCCTTTTCTACTTTCGGGAAAGAAGCACATTTTGTTTTTGTTGATACTCATACATTTATTTAAAATATTTTTAAAAATGTTGTTTAAAGTAAGCCTGGCAAATTTGCAATGTTAATTAATATGGTTATATTGAAATTATTTACCGGCTGTTGGAGGGTTAGGTTAGGTTAGGGGGTTTAAAATGAGTTTAAAATCATAAAATCGATAAAATTAATTGAGTTATATTCAGGTTATTGTGATTTTAATTGATAAGATAATTTAACAGAATATTAAACTTAAGATTTGGTTTAGGATTTTTTTTCTTTAAAATAGGCATTGGAGTGTATTTATTAATAATCACTAATATTCGTGTGTATAAATGTACGTATATTTTAATTGTTTATAAAATTGTAAGTACTTTGTTGTTGAAGACTTCTAATTTTAATACCTGATAATAAAAATATATTAAT